AGGGGCCGTTTGAGTTGAGCTCAAGAGGAGAAAGATTAGCGCTTCCGGCGCAGGGCGAACAGGGCACAGCAGAGGCACAGAATGTTCCAGAAAGGAAGACTGCTTCCAGGCAGCTGCGGCTGGACCTTGTGAAAGCCGTTTGGAGGTACCGTCAAGAAGTCTGGTCTTGGTTTGGTAGGCGGTGGCGAGGCGTCAGAGATCTGAGCAGGACAGATCAGCTGTGGGGTCCAGAAAGGGCTTCCTGGCTGACTCCAGCCACGGAGGGCGCCCTGGCCCCACCCCCTCTCCTTCAAGACCCTATGCTGCAAGTTTGGCTTCTGCGAAGTACCTGCCAGCTGCCCCGCGCCCCCAGCGCATCTTGTCCCGCCTAACGCAGGGCTGGCTGCCTCTCCTCCTCTCTGCTGCCCCGCTTCCGCGGCAGTTCCCACTTTGGCCAGGGAGCAAGGGCAGGGTCTGCCTTTCCCCAGTCACCACCAAACTCTGTGGCCAGCTAGTTTGACCTCTTGGCCATGTGTCTCTCGTCCACTCTCGCAGCATCCTCCACCCCACACTTCAGCAGCCACTGCCTTCCTGTTGTCCCCTGAAGGTGGCTGGGGCCCAGCCCCTCCCCAGCAGCCTGCTGCCCTCCTTACCACCTTCCCTGCTTACACCCTTCCCGGAGTCCTGAAGCTGTCTGATGGGGTCCCAGTTCCTTGTGTGGCCCCACGTGCGCCCTCATTTCTCGCTCTCTCCACAGAGCAGCAGCTCAGCCACTCGACACTCCGCAGCCTGCAACATCCTCCTCGTTCGTCAGGGCCAAGCCCAGTCCTTCAGGGGAGTCCTTCACCGCAGCCCGCTGCACGCCTTTCACCTCCTGTGCGCCCTGGCTCCCCGTCACCTCTTCACTGAGCCACCACCCCACTAGCCAGGGAGACCCCGAAAGCAGCACTGCCAACAGGTCTCCCTCCCCGCCAGGTACCTGGCCCCTCTGCATCCTTCTCCCCAGCACGTCCTCCCAGGGACTTGGGGCTGTGCCCAGAAGCCAGACCCTCCCACAGGGCCCCAGGACTCCCCACTGAGCCTCTCTCCAGAAGCGCCAGTTGCCACGGGCCACTCCCACAGGACTTCTCCGGGGAGAGCTCCTCCTCCATGTGGGATGATCAGGCTGTTAGCTCCCGTGGTGGTCTGGATATATTCGGGGGGGGGCGGGAGGCTCTCAGTTGGCCTCCAGGACCAGGACTGGAACAGAGGCGTTTGTGTGTCTGCGTGTGTGGGGTCCTGGCTCTGGCACTGCTCTGGGTGGGGCTGGGGCAGGCAGCTCCTGAGACCCCACCCCGACCAGAAACCAGAGAGGATGGGGGAGAGGCCTGCGAAGCCCTTCAGCTCCTGGCGAGCCCCGCCCCCTCAGGGCAGTCCCCCATCATGCCTTGCCCGGTCTAGAGGCCTGGTCATCAGGCAGCCAGGGTCAATGCGGAGGTCACAACTGACCCGGGAGCCAGGAAGGGCCAGAGCTGGGGGAAGGTGTCCCGAAGTAGGCAGGAGGTGCTCCCAGTCCTGGACATGGGCACCCGGCCCCCCATGCCTGTGCTGCTCTGGGTGGCCCGGCTGGCCCTTCCAGGGGCCCCAGCCTGCTCAGGACTCGGAGCACCGGAGGCGGCCAGCGAGGCCCGTGGACAAAGCAGGGCTCCCTTTCTGCTTGCCAGCCTCAGGGCACCGTCCATCTGTGGGGGACCTCTGTCTTACAATGAAAGCCCAGACCTTGAGTCACTTTCACAGAGAGATTTATCGAGAACGCCAACAGCACAGGATACAGCACTTCCCAACAAAAGGTGCGAACGCGCCACTTCGAAAGGCATGCGGAGTGGTCTTTGCTTCACATGTATTAAAAAACTTACAAAAATAAAATAAAACTGCGTGCTGCCCATCTTTTCAAATAGTCAAAGAACCTTATGAAAAATCACTGGGTTTTACAACAAAAGACACAAACGGACATTTTTATGTAAATTTATAAGGCAAACTCTTTATATAATAAATAGGTTACAGGGATTCCGTGGGGCATTTTAAACGTATACAGGTACATTCAGACAGGGTTACTGAAATGGTACAAATCCCCCAATAAACCGCCTTGTTTGCAGTCTCAGTGCTTCAGTCATTTGGCGACACAAGAACTTTTTTTTTTTAACACTACAAAAAAGCAATCAATATCTTTTGTTTTTAAAACAACCTACTTATTTTCTAAAGTAATTGTCCCAAAACACAAAAACCAAAGGTGAATGCCACGGAGGAGACTTCTCTGACCAAGTAGGCCCAGGGTGCCCCACCTGCTCCCCTTGCTCCACCCCTCACCTCAGACTGGCTTTTGGGCTGGGTAGGTTGTGACACTGGCAACACTGTGTCCCAGTCTTCAGCCTGGGGCTGGGGCAGAGCGTGAGACCGCACCTCAGGAGGGGCGGACACCCCACGCCTGCTTCTAGATACTAGCTCCCCCCAGCCCCACTGTGCAAGTGGCCGCCACAGGCAGTACTACCCTTGGCCTTTCTGAGGGGGCTCCTGAGCACGAACCCCAGTACATGCTGCCGGGTGACAGCTTCTCTGAAGGAACTCCACGTTTTGCTGGCAACCAGACAGCCCCCTCCCAAGTCCTCGCCCCTTGGACAGCATGGCACAGATGTGCAGATGAACAGGATGGGGTGGGCGCTGTGCGAGAACTCCTGCGGGGACTGCCCTGCAAGGGAGCACTCACCAGCCCCACCCCTCGAGCCCTGTGCCTGCCCTCCCTCCAGACTTGGTCTTTCCCTAAAAAGAGCGTGATGTTGGACATCTTGGGGTGGAGCCACAAGCATCCACTGGGGTGGAGGGGGGTGTACAATTGGGCCTGTTCTGAGGACGGCCAGACATCGACTGCGGTATGCTGGAACTGGCCTCTCGGGCTTCACTTCTTTGGGGGCTTATGGTGGACCTGGGCAGGGGGTCATCTCTTCAGATTTCCCACCGTGGGGAAAAGGCCACCACTCCAGTCTCAGTCACCAGCTCCCCCCGCTCGGATTCTTGTCTGGTGGTTAAGGAGAGGGGTCTAGAGGCATCTGTCTGGAACAATTACTTTAAACATGGCTACAATACAGACTTCAGTTCACACACGGAAGAGATTTACTTAGCGAAGTTCCTTTCACCCAGCGAAAACTACACAAGTAGGAGGCTCAAGAGCACAGGTGAGAGGGCCAGGAGTGACTCATGTTCAGAACACAAAAGGGAAGCTCAAACCCAAACCCAACCCAGCCCGAACGGAACCCTCCGAACAAGGCAGGGCAGGGTGGAGAAGGGGCGCAAACACAGCACGCGCTACAGTGTCCGGTTCCACGGCCCGGCCCGAGGGCGGGGCTCGGCACGCGGTTAGTAACAGTCCTGGTCATATTTGGTCATAGACTCATCAGCTACCGACTCCGGAGCGGCTGTTATCACGATTGAAGCAGGGAGAGACTCAAACAAAGGCGGCCTCAGTAGCAAGGGGAGGCGCGGGCTCCAAGTTCTGGGACCCTCTGTGCACCCGCTGTCCTTCTGCCCAGACACTGAGCAGGTGGGCACTTGGGCGCTGACTTCACTTCTGGTCAGAAAGCATGCCCACGTCCACACGGGGCCTCCCTGCCTCCTCTCCCGCCCTGGGCCACTGCCAACACGGCCCAGCAGCTCCGGAGGGTCCGCCTCCCACCACCCGCAGGGCCAAAGCCCCGTTCCCCTCGTGGGGATGGAAGCGCTAGGCTCTGGTGATTATGATGCTCTCTGCTTTGGAAGAACAAGTTTCTGGATTTTTTTTTTTTTTTTTTTTGGTGTTTTTACTTACTTTAAAAAAGGATCAAAGAGAAGTGCCGCAGCTAAACTCTCTAGCAGATATTGCTTGAATGACCACACAATTCCTGGTGGGGCCTGGGGAAAGGGAAAGGGACGGTTCTGGAGTCTTCTCAAACCCCTGGGGGGCACCTGGGCTCCTGCATGGGGTTCTGAGGTCCCAGGGGCTCTACCTGGTGCGGGGCATAGGTTCAGAGACAGGCAAGGCCTGCCCATCTCCCCTGCATCCCTGGGCCAAGTGGGGAGGTGGATTCTGGCTCTGAGCCCTCCCTGTAGGGCACCCTGCGCCCACCAGCTCCCCATGCCGATTGCCACGCCCAGCACTGGCAGGGTTGGGGGGAGGTCGGGCCGCCCTGGGGGCACCCCCGCCCAGAGCCGACTGCCCTCCAGACTTCCCCAGGTCAGGGGAGCTCAGGAAAGTAGCGCACACCCTGGGTGACGCTTGGCGCCTGTCCCGGTTTGGCCCAGGGCAGCCCTGGGGACACAAGCAGGGGAGAGCACGGATCTGCTTGGACAGAAGAAGTGACCAGCAGACAGAGTTGTCAATGTTTTTGTTTTTTCGTGTTTATTTTCCCTTGTCCTATGCTATGGTTTCAGAAATATCGTAATTAAGCAACAGGTATCATTTCAACAGGTCTTTGTGCGGCGCCACAAGCAAACCGAGGTTATAATTGTGCAATATACAGACAGACAGACCAAAAGTCCACTGCTTTCTGTGTCTAGTTGGTGCATTAAGTAAAGGGACAGAAAAACTAAAGGTGGAACTCAAAAGCAAAACAAAGGCAGCCCCAGGATGGCGGACATGTCTCAGTCCCGGGGAGCATCACCGGACGCACAGACACCATGGGAGGGCACTGTCCACCCGATTCCTCTCCCTGCCGAGCGGGCCAGTGGAGCAAGGCCACGTGCAAGCCTCCCCAAAGCTCTCAGACGCCAACGTCAGCGGGGCTGCTCTCCTGGCGTCCGTCCTGCCTCCACCCCGGGGGCTCTCCCACCTGCGCGTCCCAACATGGCTCTGGGGTGGCAGGTCAGGTGCGAGCAGCTCCCACACAGCCTCTGCCCTCACCCCCAGAGCCGGGGGCTGGCCCCCTTGCAATGGGGCCTCTTCCCAGAGCTCTAGGCACTAAGACCCTGAAGAAGGTGAGGCAGGGAGATCTGGCCAAGGGAGTGGGGGGGTGACCAGGAGCCCCGGGGGCCAGTACACACAAGAGGCAGAGGCCAAGGGCTAGACATCATGCCCCCGCCTGAGCTCCCTGACCGGTCAGTGACTGGGGTGGGCTCTGTCATGGTGAGGGGAGCAGGAAGGAAGGTAGGGGTGGGTGGGGCCAGCGAACGGCCTGCTGAGTCACAGATGAGCACGCCCCCTTCCGCACCAAGAGCTGGGCTCCTGCATAGACCTCCGGATCCAACACCAAAGGGCAGGTCAGAGGCCAGCTCCTTGGGGACTGCTCCCAAAGGCCAGACTGGCTCTCCAATGACAAAGTCGCCCAGAGTCTCGGGCCACTTCAGGCTGGATTTCCCATGGCCCGTACTGCTCCTCAGACACCTCAGGCCCAGCCTGAAGTGTCCCCAACCCAGCCTCCGTGCAGAAGTCTGCTCTCAGTCACTCAGAAACACTGCGACGCGCTTTCTGCCCAGCGTTCTCTGGGTGTTGTTCTAACTCTCGCGCACTGGTCTCTGGTCAATGTTTCTCCTTGAATATGCAATTACCGAGCCTGGAGGAGGCTGGAGCCTAGCGATTTAGATCAATTACACACTCCTCTTCTAAGAGAGACCACCACAAAAGGGGAGAAACAACGGGCTCTTCAGGAAGAGCCAATTCCTAGTGGCCCCGGCAGAGCATACGGAGGGTGTGATCGAGGGGGCATGTAGCTCTAGGCCAGCGGCTGGGCCACCAGCACCTGCCACTCACACCAGGGCCACTCTGTCTGCAGGAACCAGGGGACATGCCTGCCAACTTGTACAGGGAACTCTAGCAACAGCTCATTTCTGTGGGGTTCACCTCAAACCCAACAGGGTCTCAATATGTGACTTATGACCATCCCCAGCTCAGTCCGGGTGGAGGCATCCAGCTTGGGCTGCTCACCTCTACTCAGGCCCACCAGGTGGGCTCACTGTCCCCGGTGCCTTTGTGCTAGTGCCAGGCTGTGTGGCCTTGTCCTGGCTCAAGGCTGCCAACTCCACTGACGACCAGGTCACTGGTGGGGGGCACACTGGGGTGACGAGGTAGGAACTGTCAGCTAGGTGGAGGGTGGGAGCGACTGGGAACATGACCTACAAGGAGTCAGCCTCACGGGCACGCTCATGCTGCCAGTCAACGCCTGGACCCTTCACTGTCACTAAGGCACCCCCGATCATCCTCACGTTCAACACCACACAGACCTGAGGCCCCCCGTGAGATGGGGCAGGACACGGCTGGTGAGAAGGCTCTCCCTCCAGCCTCCCGTTCAAGCCGACCCCAGGTGAGGTGGGGCGGCTCCAGGGGCCACATGCAGCGGACGCTCGGCCTGCTGCCTGCACGAAGGCAGCTCATCACCTCCCAGTGCCTGTATCTGGGGCCGAAGAGGAAATGACGGACGAGAGGGAGAGAGGCAGCGAAGAGCCTGGCGCGTTCTGTCGGGCACCAGCTGCAGCTGTGGGAAAGATGCTGGTGGTGGTGGTGGTGGGGAGCTGCTGGACGGCCCAGGCCCAACTGCCAACTCCTGACAGCTCTCTCAAGAGCCACACTGCCCTGCATCAAAAGCAGACCTGCCCTCACTCGCATCTTCTCAGTGACAAATGGCGTCTCAGCAAAGTGGCCAGATGCCGTGCACACACGGGCAGTGAGGCCACGGAGGAGGAAGAGCAACGATCGCCCACTTGCCTTCCTGGGGAGGGGCTGGAAGATTCCACAGGAGGCGTAAGGAATTGGGCTGACAGGGCTTCCGGTGTGGTGGGTGCTTTTACAGCATGAGGAAATGCATACAAAGAGGCTCAAAAGGCCAGCTATGACTCTATGAACCGAAGGGGGCCACTTCCTCATTTTTCACCATTCCAGAAGAGACAAACACTGCACTATCTTCAGCTACTGACTGGTTCCTAACCACTACGACTGGCAAGGCAGGGCTCCGTGGTTTCAAGGATGTTCCACTCTTTCAGGATCACGCCAGAACAAGGAAGCCGGGACAAGAACAGAAACACACAAGACAACACACATTTGACAGGTCACTGCAGCAGCTCAGGTGACGTGCTTGTGGGTGTTTCTGGAAGCATAAGACTGCTGTCTCATTTGGCTACTTTGATAAGGTACTTCTCAGGTGGACAGATTTAGATAAGATACATCTCTGTAAACGCAGAAAAGGATCTACCAGTATGATGAAGAGATGCAGCTGGATAAGGACTTCCTGAATGGAGGGGGACAAGGCAGGGACCCAGAGGGCCAATTTGTAAAGGAAAACCTGAGCCCTGGCCCCAGCCCAAACAAGGACCAGTGAGATGGGTGGTGCACCGGCCCCGTCCCACAGGCCATCTTGGGAGTCAGGGGACAGAGGGCTGGGACCGGGTGCCAGCTCAGGTCTTGGGAGCATCTGCACTCCAGGAAACTGGGAGGAGCTGGGCAGAGTCGGCCAGAGGCCACCATCAGGATGGCACGGGGACCTAGGCCTCAATGCTGTGCTTGGTGGACGCATCTGCCCAACTTCTCCCACCTGCTTCTCTGGAGCTGGAGGGTGGGAAGCCTGCTGTTTACAGTAGAAAAAGCCGTTTGCTTTTTTCTTACCAGGGAAGAGCGAGCTACTGGGAGGACAAAACCTTGCCGCTCCCTCATGCTCTTTGGAGAGAGAGGCCCAGAAATGCCATGGTCAATTTGCAGAGACCTCCTACGGGCTCGCAACAGTGCGGGGCTGGGGCTGGGGCTGCAGCGTGAAGGCAAGGGGCCGGACATGGGGAGACTTCTACGGGGCCAAGAGCCAACAAGCGTTAGCTCAGGGTCCAGTGGGGCACTGCAGCTGCCTGGAACAGAGAGAACAAAACAGAAGGCAGGCGGGAATGGAAGAAACAAAAGGGTGAAATGGAAGGAAGAAACAGAAGGGGAGAAGCAAACACAATCAGGAAGTCCTTATAAAATCGCAGCAGACACTTAGAGTTTCGAAGCTTCGTGGGCACCCTGTGTGCTAACCCCACTTGAAAACAAGGACAGCTACCTACAGCTACAGGAAGTCAGAACACCGTCACTTCTGGTGGCTGGAGTGAGCACGCGTCACCCGAGTCGAGCCAGTCTCTCTCAGTGCATTGCTGTTTGTCTGGAAGTGGGAACATGAAGACTCAATAGTGCAAATCATTCCAAACTGTCCCTAAAGTAGCAGAATTGGAAGTAACGGGAAGAACAGGTTTCCTGCCCAGCCCAGTCCACTGTTGTCCCTAATGACCGGTCGGTAACGGCCCCACTGCACTGGGCCTGGCCCCCAACCTGGGCCAGCCTGCTGTGTCCTCGGCCGGCTGCCTCCCCGGCCGCTCTCTCTAGTGCCACCCCTCTGGGCACTGTCCCCTGAGAGTGGACAATGCTACCTCGCCCTCAGCCACATTTTGCTCTTGCTCAGGCCAGTTTCCAGCCGGCAGTTCCCAAGATGGCGTCCCCCTGGCTGGGCCAGAACTGGAAGGACAGGGGCGCCACTGTTCCGTTCTGTAAGCGTCCTGGTTGAGCTGGGATGGGGCCGGCGTGGGACCAGGCCTGGCCCACCACGGGTGGTCTCACAGGGCCCGGAGCCCCTTGTCCTGGCTGGCTCTCCTGCCTCACACCTCCTTGTCCCGCTGTGGCCGGGAGGGGGAGGTGGGGGGAGCTAGGGGAGGTGCAGGCAGGGCGGGGACAGGAGCCGGGGGCACCAATGGCACGGAAACCAGGGGTGTCTTCTGAACTGCTCTCTGTCCCTAGCGACCACCGGCAGTGTGCCACTCTTGCCCCACATGGGGTAAAAACGGGGGATGGGGGGCAGGTGCAGGCGTGGCCTAAGCAGCCTGACAAAGGGCTGGTCCGCTCAGTAGTATCTGCAGCGAGCCTTGTGGAAGGAGCCTGGTGGAGAAAAGTGCAAAGCTACCTCTGGCCCTGGTTAGGTCTTCAACCTGACTGTGCTTGTCGGTTAAGGAAAGCCACCCGATGCTCCAACTACTCCCACCCTGAAGCCGCGAAACTCTAAGTTTACTGAAAGAAAAAAAAATATTTTTTATTTCAGTTAATCGGGAAGCTTTGTCAGAGCCCTACCCATAAGGAGGAGAGATAACAGCTGCCTTTATCCTTGGTGGTTTGCCTTTTCCATGCCCTCGGTCGCAAGTCAGCTAACTCTCTCTGTCACGGCCGTCCGGCTGTCCACAGGCTCCTCTCTGCTCGGCCTTGGCATGGAGGACGTAACAATGTCTTTGCGCTCTCCCTCCCCTCGGTGTTTGTACTTTTCTGCAGCTGTGGCGGCAGGGGCCACTGCGGGCTGAGTCTTAGCTGGTTCCTTGGGGCAGCCGTCGCTCTCCAGCGAGCCTCCTCGCGCCATCTTCTCCTCTTTGCACACGCTGCTGCTTAAGTCCTGAGGCTCGGGGGAGCTTGTGGGGTCCTGGGAGCTCTCAGGCTCAGGTGGGGGCAGGGGCGGCAGCAGTGGCGGCACGGGGGCCTTGGGGGACTCCAAGTGGTGGTGGGGGTGGGGCTGCTCCTTCTTGGGGGGTGAGGAGGCGCTGCTGCGACCCTTGGGGCTGCCCTCCTTGCTTTTCCGCCCGGGGCTCTTGCAGGTCTTCAGTCCCTTCCCGCTCTTCTCGCCCACGGTGGACACCAGCAGCGGCTTCACCACTTCTTTGACCTCGATGCTGACGGTCTCCCGGGTCTTGCGCTTCTTGATCGGGAGCACAGTCTCCTGCACGGACCGGATGGAAGACTCTTTCACGGCTTTCTTTTTGGCCTCTGCGGCAGCAGCTGCCACCACACTGCCGGGCTTCCGGCCTCGCTTCTTGGGAACGGCCTGGGGGTCGGCCTCTGCTTTCCGCTTCCTGCCGGGGCGTTTGAGGACCATGACCTGGGCAGACGTGGTTGCCCCACCACTGTCTCCCCTGCCCCCTGCTGAAGCCTGGAAGGGCATCTTGACCAGGAGCTTGCCAGGGCTCTTCTCCATGACCCTCTTGACCTGCACGCCCTCGGCTGCCGCCTTGGCTCGCGCCGTGCCGCTCCCCTTGGGCCGTCCCCGGCCTCTGCCGGTCCCTGGAGCTTTGGGAGATTTGGGCTTCTTAGGCGGTTTCTGCTCTCGCCGGGAAGGGCTCCCTCTCCCCGTGACCGTGAAGTCAAAATCATTAGGGTCCAGGGAGGTGTCGCCTACCTTTTCGAAGTACGCAATCAACTCCACTTTAGAGCGGAAGGCTTTGCCTTGGGGGCTAGAGGGAGACGGAAAGACAGAAAACTGTGATTAGCAGCTTTTTCAAGTGATGGCAGAGGCGGGCGCACTGGGAGGGCATGCACTTGCCCGGCCTGCAGGGAAGCCGCAGGGGGCACACATGCTCAAGGGGCACCAGAAAGGTGACGAGGGCATGGCTTGGGGTGGCCTGCGTCACCCAGAGGACCCTCCTGTCACCAAGAGCCCCCAGTCCAGCCTCTCCACAATCCAGCAACCAAAGGAGTGGAGTGAGTCACTGCTGGGGCCCTACTAGCAGGCGGGCGTACGTTCTGCTGGGTTGGTGCCTGGACCTGATTACTGCTCCATTACCCCTGCACTCAGGCAAGTCATCTAACCCCATCTGTCCACAGGCCAATGCTTTGGCCACTCTTGTCAGTCGATGGACAGTCAATCCTCATTATGCACGGCAGTGACATTCTATATAAAGTCTGGAAAGTAAAAACCAAATCAGCAGAAAGCCGAGCAGCCTTATCCAACGTCAGCTGGGCACTTTTCCCACTCGGCTCGTGTGTGTCCGGGAACGCACCCTGAGCGTGTTCAGCAAATAAGGAGTCTGTGAATAAGGAGGACTGAGTGTAACGGAATGGAACTATATGCCAACAGCCTCTGAAAACTGCTAACCTTTTCTGGATCATTCCAAGGAGTGCAACTCTGACGTCCTTATTCCCTGCTCCTCTGAAGCTCACCCTCTGGAACAGAACACGTGCAGCTATACAAGTACACAGGGCCAGCTGGAAAGGCCCGGCAGCGCCACTGCTCTCCTCCCGGAGGCCTCACGAAAGGGCGTGCCTGGCCCAAACTCTTTCTCAGAGTCAAAAAGAATCAGACTAGAGTGGGCACACGCACTCCTTCAGTTTCGAGGCAGGAAGGGAGGCGGTCTCACGGTTTGGAGGAATTCCCTGCAGTGTGTGTTCCCCAGCAGGAACACGGCAGGACCCTGAGCGCTCTGGTTGCAATCGACGCCTGGCTTGCAGGCTGCGGTGGGCCCACCTTAGGACATGTTCTTGTGTCCCTCAGCATGGCAGGCATGTCACCCTGTGTGTGAGGCACTGTTCTCTCCAAGGCCTCACTGGGATTGTCACCATGCCCCCTGGGTAGGGCCTACAGTCACTTACTACTCCATATTCCAGATGAGGACAGGCCATGAGGCACAGAGAGAAGGACTGCCCTGCTGGCAGAGCCCAGAGCCTGGCACGGTGTGTGTGGCCTTCTGGCCCCAGTCCTCCCACTGTGCAGGTGGCTGGTCTAGGGCCCGCCCGCCCACACGGCCTGGCTGCATCGCCACCCCCCCCCCGCCCGCCAGCAGGTGCTCTACTCACTTGATCAAGTACACGTCATACTTCCCAGCCGAGCGGCCGGATTTCCTTTGCTTCAGTTTTCGTGTCCAACCTTCAGGCAGGGTGGGATCGTCATACATGGGTCCCCGGTCACGAATGATTGAACGCCGCTGTTTGGGGGAGGCAGAGGCCTCTGGGACGGCGGGGGCTGTGCCCGACCCCTCGGATGTCTCTGCCTTGCCCGCCTCGGCTGGCTCAGCGGAGTGGTGGGCGGACGGCTGTAGGGGCTCATGCTTGCCCTCTTTGTCTTCCTTCTTATCTTTCTTCAACTTCTTAAACTTCAGGGGCTTGTCCTTGAGGCCCTGGAGGTCTTGGTCTTCTGACTTTTCTTCCCTGAAGTGTTAAACAAGTATGTAAGTATCACAGAAAAAACACCAGTTTGCAGAAAAAGCCAGTGCTGGCAGGCAGGCTGACGGTGCCCACAACATGGCAAGGCCCCAAGAGGGGGTCTGGCCCACGCCTCAGACTCTCCCAGAACCCAAGGCCTGTCTGCGGTGCTGGGCCCCGCCTGCACTGCAGTCCCCCCTTCCCCTGTCACTCCAGAGCCCTGCAGGGGGGAGACCCAGGGAGGCTTCCACCTGCTCCTTGGCAGGGATGCTGGATCGGCTGAGGCTGCAGGCCCTGGGGCTGCATGGCTGGAAAGGAAGCTGCTCAATTCCCCGTGGGATGGACGGCACCCCAGCTTTCGTATTTGTCGTTTTCTCTAATGTGCTAGCCACCCATCAGACTGGAGAGGCAGTGCCGCGGGATGAATCCCAAGCTCTGGGGGCCACACTCACGCCCCAACAGCACCAGGGCCTCAGAGACCCCTGACTGGGAGAATCACAGGAGGAAAGTCACAAAGGTACGCTGAAAGCACCAGCTCCTGCCCTGTCAACTTCCAGGACCCCGGGGCCGGCGGCTGGCCCAGGCCCCAGGCCCACAGGCTCCTCTGAGCAGCAGGCAGGGCTGGGAGGAGAGCTGGGTGGGGGTGGCGAGCAGCCACCGGCCAGTCTTTCCTCTGGGCGGGAGCAAATGGAAGGGCTGTCCCCCAGGGCTCTCGTCTATCCTGGTAACACTGGGCAGTGAAGGTGGCCAAAGAATGCCCCAAGTATACCAAGCGGAAAACGACACAGCAGCAGGCCGCCAAGACCACACGTTCGAGTCTTAGGTTCTCCGTCGGCAATGAGGCAGAGTCCTGGGAAGCCAGGCCTGGCCAAGGGCACAGCAGAGGCACAGTGAACCCAGAACCTTCTGGAGGGTCTGCTGTTGCCAACAGACTGGACTCCCCACTTGCACACGATTCGTGACCTGAATGCCACCCAGAAGGAGGGGAGCTGCCCGGGCCCTGGGCAGGCCTGGCTTCCCTGGAGTGCATTTAGATTCCCCAAGGAATTAACACCAGAGGCTGAGGACAAACCACAGGCCACGAAGAATGTCCCTTATCACAGCTGAGGGCGGCAGCACTGTGCCTCTGGGGTGAAAAGGAGATAGTGAGGCCGTGTTGCCATGGAAAGAGGAATCACCAAGGGGTTTGAACCTGTGCTCTCTTTACGATTTAAAAGGACACAAGGTGTTGGCTGTCACCCATACTATGTAACGGCTACTTGGTCTGCAGCTGAGCAGGTAGAGCTGCAACTTCCCAAGTGCGCCCCCCCACATACTGCGGGACCGAGGCAGCCCAGGTGTGAGCCAGAAAAGAGGAAAAGGGAAGGGTTTGGACTGAACTGTGTCCTCTCCAGGCCCCTGGTTGGAATTCCATTTGGAATAGGGGGGTCTGTTATGTTAATGTGGTAGGATCAGCTCAGAGATACAGGCAGAGCCGGCGCTACTGTGGGTTCAGGTGCAGAGCAGCAAGCCAACAGTGCAATAAAGCAAGCCACGTGCACCTTCTGCTTTCCCAGTGTATGTAAGTTATGCTGCCATGATATGTCTATGAGGTGTGCAACTGTGCGATGAGTTTGACATATTGTGAGAATGACCAGAATGGGACACAGGGACACGAAATGGGCACATGCTGTTGGGAAGACAGACTTGCTTGACGCAGGGCTGACACAAACCTTCCATTTTGTAAAAAACACAGTGTCTGCGAAGTGCCAAAAAGCGAAGCGCAATAAAACGAGGTGGGTCTGTATAGAAGAGCAAGCGAAGGAAGCCGAGACTGGGGAAGAGATGCCATATGAAGATCGCCCAGGAGCAGCAGCTCAGAGGTGACAAAGACCTCCCTCCAGAGGCAACAGACAGAGAAAGCCTTTCCCTAGAGAGGTGCCCAGAACTCAGACCTACAGCCACTGTGGCCGTCCCGTTACAGCAGCATGTCCGAGGACGCCTGCTCCACCGGCGTCAACTGACGGCCACCGTGTACCAGGCCCCAGGAGCACATGGTAAGCAAAGAGGGACGTGGCCCCTGCCTTTGGAGAACCTTCCACCAAGCCCAAGAGCAGACAAGAATCAAACACACCAACTTGCAGCCTTGGCTACGAGAGCAAGTGGCCACACTCTGACTCCATGAGGACGAGGACAGGGGACCAAGAGGAGACCGCCCAGGAGACATGTGGTGGGAGCAGGACATCCCAAGGAATTTGAGGTGGCCGGCAGTGCCCAAGGAGAGGAGCCTGGCAGGCCAGGCCTTGAAGCCGGGAAGGACTTCTGTCTGGGTCCTCAGGGCCAAGGGCACCAGCTCTGAAGAGGGAAGACCAGCCCGGCTCCCCAGGGCCCTACAGGAACCTTCAAAGGCACTGCAAGGGCGCCAGAGAGGGCCCGAGCTTTAGCTGTGATCTTCAAGTTCTGTTCAGTTACAAATGACTTGAAGCAAGTGTGACAATGTGGTCCCTGAGGGGCACACTGGGCTTTTGTTTGATTTCACTTTCTACTGCCACTCCTATCTTGCAAAAACGGTTCTGAAACCAAAGTTAGAAAAGGGCCTGGAAGCCGCTCAGCGAGAAGGGAGAAGAGAGAGGAAGGGTAAGGAAGCCTAGTAGGGGACCCACAGTCCTTCACCCTCAGCTGAGGCCAGCACAGGTTCCCAGGCACCTCAGGTGCCCACTAGCAAACAGGTACTGGCGTGGCCCCACTGGGACTCTGCCCGGGGAGGACAGGCAGGCGTTTAGGGAGCTGAAACAGTTTTTCAAAGAAATAAAACAGACCTCTTCATCCCCCTGTGACCATGCCATGCTTCCGCATGCCTCCTCCCCGCCCACTCTCTTTTGGTGATGAGCAAACACACATCATATCCACAAGGCTCTAATGTTTTAGAGTTGGAACATCCTCCAAAAAACCAGCTACTCAACTCTTCAATGTCACAAGTTAAAATACAAGGAAGTTCAATGTGACAAAACAGCTTGTCTGAGGGCTTGGTCTAATCCATGGCCGCGCCTCCCACCTCTGCACAGCTGGTCTGCACCTGGCCCCACTGAGTGAGGGCACCACCTCTGAAAAGCCATCCCTGCTCCTGCCCCCACCTCTTCGCCCCACCCTCCACTATGGTATAAGGTGTATGTGGTGGCAGCCGCACTGGGTGACATCAATATTTGGAGGCAGTTACAGGCAAGCTCTCTGACAATCAAAGAGACCCCTTGATGCTGCCAGAATACATGTGCAGAGACAGCCCCCCTGCCTCCCCACAAGCTCCTGCTACGGGGAGCCGCTACGTGTCACAACATGTCCCCTGCGCTTAACAAACACATGATGCTGAAGAAGACCATGCCAGGATTCTATCCAAATGCTGGCAGAATGGCTCCCCGCACCGCCAAGACCCTCCTGCCTCTGGTGGCAAGATGCACGGACCAGAGTTTCTGGCAGAAAAGGATCCGCTGACAGCGGTGCTGAGCTCAAACGCCAGTGGAGTGCAAAGTGTGCTTGAGAGTGGGTTTCTAACCGTCATAAAAGAAAATATCTGCCACTCTAATCACTTTAGGTGTGCACTCACCACGGTGCACAACCACTACCTCTGGCCAGTTCCAGCACATCCTCAGCACCCCAAACTCAGTCTACTGTAAGCAGTCATTTCCTCTCCCAGTTCCCCAACCACCAACCACCTTTGGAATCTCTGCATTTCTGAGATGCCATATAAGTAGCATCAGCCAACACTCATCCTCCTGGAAGCACGATGTCAAGGTTCAGCCATGTGGCTGAGCAATATGGAGGGACTACGCTGTATCGCCCATCAGCCACTGCTGGACACCTGGGCCGGGCCCACTCTCAAGTATTGCGACCAGAGCTACTGGGAATGAACATTGCAGCACACATCTTGGTATGAACATGTTCTCTTTTGCTTGGATACACCTAGGAGCAGAATGGCTAAAACATCTGATTTTAACTAGACTTGTGAATGGTTTGGTTAGCATGCTTGGGTTACAGAATCAGATGGGTTTGTGTGTTCCGCCATCGTCTTCCCCGTAAACACTCTCATGCTTCCATCATGTCATTTGCAGAACACGAGGCTTTTCAGGGACGCATGGGTCACATCGAATCACCTGCACAAATTGGCAGTGTACACCCAGTGCCTGGAGGGAAGGTTCCCAGGGAATGTGCGGCGAAAGCGCTCCTCAAACCCAGCTAAGGAGAACTGGAGATGCAGGAAGCTCGCCTTCAGGCACACTAGGGGTTTGAAGTGGGAACCATCTGCTTTGTCATAAGCCAAAGGTCATCCTGCTACAAGCAGCCCAGGAGAAAGCTAAGGGAGCCTGGGCTTGGGGCTCAATTGGCCCAAAGCTTCCAGCACCTCACAAGGATGCGTTAACTGCCGGCAGGTGCGTCAGCCTGGCTGACAACTGTGGCTAAAGAGGAACTGATCAGCCAGTCTCTTAGGTTGCCAAAGGAAAGGAAGAAGACCGCGAAGCAAGGGGAAGTGGCAGGTGCGCGGAGCCTGGCGGAATCCTGACCTTGCCTAATCGCGCAGTTTTGTCTGCATTACCCCCACCCCAGAAGGCAGCATTTCTCGGCATTGTTCATTCCCACAGTGCTCTCCAAGGAGCCCAAGCGCAAATGCCAAAACGAGACCAGGGACCGCCAAGGCGCGGCAGCTCCTAGCTCAGGTGCCTGGTCTCAGGCCAGAGCAGAGCACAGCCGTCCTTGGCAGTGATTGTACGTGGAGTTTTACCCACTGGTCCCAATGGGCAGCCCTCCCCACAGTGAAGGTGGAGGAACGCCTGGAGACTCCAGCTTCTAACCTGCTAAGATGCAAAGGAGATCAAACTGGCAACAGGAGGAGACGTGCAAGGTCTCGGGAGCAATGACTCCCAGGCCACAGTGGGGAATAGAGTTGAGTCTGGCGTACTGTGGAGGCACAGCTTATCCACGCTACTTCCTCATTCCCCAGTGTTGCCGACCGAAAGGCGCGCCTCCTCCAAAGA